AGCCTTATGGGGTTTCCTTTGTAGGTAACCTGTAGCTTCTCTCTTGCTGCTTTTAGGATTCTCTCTTTGTCTTGAATTTTTGGCAGTTTGATTACTATGTGTCTTGGTGTGGGCCTGTTTGGGTTCTTCTTACTTGGGGCTATCTGTGCTTCTTGAACTTGAATGCCTTCTTCCTTCACCAAATTAGGAAAGTTTTCTGTCACTATTTCTTTGAATATATTCTCTAACCCTTGCTCATTTTCTTCTTCTTCGGGGACTCCTATGATGTGAATATTATTGCATTTCCAGTTGTCCTACAGTTCTCTTAAGCTGTCTTTCTGTTTTTTAATCATTTTTTCCTTTCAGTTTTCTGATTGGTTGATTTTTTCTACCCTGTCTTCTAATTCACTGATCCGGTCCTCAGCTTCCTCCTCTGCTTTTTAGACCTTCCAATGTGTTTTTTCATTTCTGATATGTCATTTTTTATCTCTTCTTGGTGGTTTTTAATTTCCAATTGGCTTATTTTCAACATCTCTATGTCCTTACACATGCTGTTGAGCTTCCTCAAGATCATGGCTCTGAATTCTAGTTCTGTTAACTTGCTTAACTGCACCTCATTTATCTCATCTTTGGTAGAGGTCTCTTGTTTTTTCATTTGGATTTTGTTTCTGTGTTTCACCATTTTGGCTATCACAGTGGGCTTTGGAGTCTGCCAAATTTTCTCTGTGGGTGTTGGTGTTCTGCTGTTTGTGGCTCCCTCTCCTGGGTTTGGATGAGGCAGGGAGGACCCACTTTAAACACCACTGTCAAGTCTTAACGTTCCTGGTTAGAGTTGCTAGCCCAGGGAATGGTAGTTATCCTCTAACTTTTTTTGCCTGGAGGCTATTAGTAGAGGTCACCTGAAGAACCATGGTTTCTGAGTTGCCTGAAAAACTCCCTCAGGTGTGCAGTGTAAGAGGATTTCCGAGGGTGGGGCAGATGCTGGTTGTTAATGGACCTCAATTAGCATTTTAATGGCCACCAGGTGGGGTTGAAGCTCGGAGGGAGGGGCCTCTGCCTCTCCCCAGGGCCCTGGGAAGGAGTAAGATGACCACAGTCCTGTGTGGCTGCACTCAGCAAAAGCTCTGAGCACCCTCCAAATCCTGAGTGCCCCACACAGTTTCAGTCCAGTCTGCCTTCCCTCTGCCAGAGTCCAAGGTGAGTGGGTGCTGCCAATTTAGCCTCTGTCCAGACTCTGCGTGGAGGAGCTGCCTGGGACTTTAGCCCGAGGGCGCTGCTCCCAGCTAAGGGCGGCTGAGTCTGCAGCACCAGCCGAGGGCATAGCTCCCAGCGTAGTTCGCCTGACTCAGCCACGGTCGCTGGACACAGCCGAGGTGGCAGCAGCTTCCAGCCGAGTCCCCTGGTCCCAGCCAAGTCTGCTGGTCCCAGCCCAGGCCGCTGCGGACTGTGGGCTCCCGGCCCCCTCTCGTGTCCTCGCAGAGCTACCAGGATTGATTCAGTGTCCCTGGTTATGTGGTCTTCCAGGCTGCCTTTCGGTTGCTCCTTCCTGACGATTTGTCTTTATTTTCGTTGTAATTCCAGTTTGGTCCTGGGAGATGGTCTGCGTAGCTCCATTCACCCCACCGCCATTTTTTTTGTCCTGAAATGATTTTAGATCGACAGAAGAGAGTTAGACATCTAGTACAGAATTCCCATACCCCCTTCACCTGGCTTCCACTAATGTTATTTCCATAACTATGGCACCTTTGTCAACACTAAAAAATTAATATGGCACACTACAGAGTTGCACCAGCTTTTTCACTAATAGCCTTTGTGTGTCCCAGCGTTGATTCCAGGATCCCAGGTGGGAGTCAGTCATCACGCCTCTTTTCTCTCCTCCAGTCTGTGATGGTTGCTCATTCTTTCCTTATTTATAATAACTGACACTTTTGAAGAGTACTGGTCTCTACATAGGGGTCTTCTGATGCTTTTTCGTGTTAAGACTTGGGTTTTGGATTGGGGGAAATAATGCCACAGAAGAGAAAGGGCCCTGCTCATCCCATCGTATCAGGAGATGCATGATATCAACATGACATTACTGATGATGTTAGCACTGATCACTTGGTTAAGGTGGTATCTGAGAGGTTTTTCCACTGTGAGGTCACTAATTTTCTCTTCCTACCAAGGTAGTCATTAAGTCCAGCCCACACTCAAAAGGAAGGGAATTAGGCTTCACCTCCTCAAAAGAGCAATATCAAATAATTTGTGAAACATATATTAAAACTAGCATCATAATTATGGTGATATTTTGAGGCTGTACAAATACCCTTTTTCTCCTTAAAGTTTTACGCACTGATGTTAACCTTCATCACTGAATCTCACCATTGCCTTTTCACTTCCAGTGTTAGTCAGGAAATCTGAAACTGTCCTAAGAATTAGACCTTTTCTCTCAGGGTGATGGTAGAATCTCTTCCTTCTTCCTCGTATTCTGAAATTTCATAAAAATGTACTTTGGAAAGAGACTGTCATCCTGAGCTCCCAGTGGGCCCTGTCTGTCTGAAACTAGGTCCTTCAATTTGGGGAAAATTTATAACTTTAAAAATTATTTCCTTGGATATTCCTTTCCCTTTCTACTCTCTCCTTTGGGACTCTTAATATTTGCCAATTGGTCCTCTGAGACTGGCCCGCTAATGTTAAATAACCAATCAGGTGGTTCGATATTCAGATTTTTTTTTCCATTTCTTTATCTTTTTCTTCTAATTTAGGGAATATATCTCAACTTTGTCTTTTAACCCCTCATTAATTCTTTAATTTCTGCTATTATATATATCTAACTTCTAAGATCTCATTTCTTTTGGTCCTCTTAATATTTCCTTTGCTGGTACCTGATTCTTTTTTGGTTGATCTCTCTCTCTCTTTCTTTCTCTCTCAGTTTTCTTAAATTTTCTTCTTGCCTTATCTCTATTTTTCATTTTGGTAACTTTTCTTGGATTATTTGTGATCTTGGTAACCTGTTCCTATTAGGGTGGTTTGATTGGCAGCTCTGAGTAGTGTATATTGGCTGTGAGCTTCATCGTAGGGTGATATGGCTAGGTGGATTCCTTAGGGAATATCTGAGTTACGTCCTCCTGGACATATCACGTTCCCCAGAGAGGGCTGTTCATTTTCCTGCCTGGATTGCAAGTGGCTGCCAGCGTTGTGGGGATGAATTGTAGGGAAAGAGCAGGAGGGTCTCAATATCTGATATTCCCATGTTCACTGAATTCTTCTGTTTATAGTGTCACACCACTGCCCTCAGCTTTGCCTCATGTTCTCCAGGTTAAAGATTTTGTGTTGTATTTCTTTGGGGAATAAACCTCTAGTCTCTTGTCAGACAAGGAAGAGGAAGACATTTGGTCACGAGGAGAAAAGGAAGGAATCTGATTATCTGACTACTTTGTAAGCAAATTTTCTATGGACTCTCTTCCTTTATTTTGCTACCCCCACTCTCAGGGGTGTCGTCTGGTGCCTCCTGAACCTTTAGGGCTCTGCGGTATAAAGTAGACTGACTCCAGCTCATCCCACTGCTGCCTATGTTTTTCTTTTATTATTATTATTATTATTATTATTTTTAATTCTTACCTGAGGACATTTTTCTATTTATCTTCAGATGAAGTGGGAGGGATGAAGAGAGAGAGAGAAACATCAATGTGAGAGAGACACATCGATTGGTTGCCTCCCCCACAACCCTGACCAGGGCTGCAGACAAACCTCAACCAAGGTACATGCCCTTGACCAGAATTGGAACCCGTGACTCTTTGGTCTGCAGGCCAACACTCTAACCGCTGAGTCAAACCGGCCAGGGTTGCCTTTTTCTTTAAAAAAAAAAAGAAAGAAATGTTAAATGTTTTACTACTTTTCCATCTGCCTTTCATTCTCTTACATTTGGTTACTCTTCTGCCCTCTCCCATTCTCCTGGTTCTTACAGGTTAGTGTCTTTGTAGAATAATTCTTTTACTCTCATTTTAATGGTGTTTCAGGAGGGAATGAAATTAGATGTGTGTGTATTCAATCTGCTATTCTGGAGATTTCTGTCTTCCTCTCTCTCTTGCTTTCTCACTCATTTATTTCCTTCCCTCTCTTAGAAATGATCAGAGGGCCAAATACGGAAAGGGTCTTGTGGGCCATTGTAAGGACTTTGACTTTATCTTGCAATGCAAATAGCTATTGAATTGAGCCTGCAGTGAATCAAGGCTGGAGCCAGAAAGACTAGTTAGGAGACCATGGAAATCACCAAGAGCTTGGACCAGGCTCATTGCGGTGCAGGTCTTTGTAAAAGCATTTTGAAGGCTGGGAGGTCTTATGCAAATGTCAGGTGTTACTGTTTTGTGCAAACATCTTAGTGTAGGGGACAGTTGAGTGCAGTGGAAAAACAAGGGGCTAAATGTACATGTGGCAATGTGAATACATGTAAAAACAGTACTTGGTGAGACAGTAACAAACAGAATGAGATATATAATAACACATAAGTAAATTAAAAGTAAATGCCCAGAAAATGAAAACACATGAAAAAAAAAAGATTAAATTTAAATACAAAGAACTGTATTAAATGCTAAAATGTTTGGGGAGAAGGGTAGTGGCAGTGAGCTATAAGGGAACCGGAAATGAATAAATCACTAAACAAACAGCAGAGGGAGAGGAGCGAGTCAGAATCTGGAGAGCTAGGTTCAATCGGGGGTATAAACTGATGTAACTTTGTGGAGTTCTGGTTGTCACCTCTGTAAAATGGGGTAGCAGCGTCCAGTTGTTTGCCATAAGAATTAAATGAGACAGTCTGTGTACAGTGCTTAACAAAGTGTCCAGTGCACAGAATATTTTCAATAAATGTTAGATATGTTCCATCTCCTTCAACTAGTCAACAGTACAACTACTGAGACATGACCGAGTGAAGATATTTTCTTTAGGGAAAATACGTGCAGGGTTTTGTTATTGTGAGGCGGGAACACGGGACTTGGCTTCCTTATCAGATGTTTTAATTCTGTTTTCCCCTTCCCTCAATGCAGGGCTTACCACCCAAACGATGGAAGGCAGAAGTCACCCACCTGAGCTGCCCAGAGCCCGCCGAGTTTGCTTTCTCACCCGTGGCCCCACACGGGAGCTCTCTGCAACAGATGTGGGTACCCAGCTTCCAGCAATCCAAGAAAGAAGCCCAGGCCCTGAGGTGGCTGGTCGATAGGAATCAAAACTTTTCCGTTCAAGAGTTTTGGGGCCTAGTATTCAAGGACTAATTTTTAAAAATATCAGAATGATATAGACTACAAAATTCTTAAGGTTTATTTTCTAGGTTGCCTTAATATCTGGATATACTAGCTACTCTGTTTATCCTGTAGGATAAGGATTGCTGCAGTACTCACAATGAGCCCTATGAAATCACAGATATGAATGATCCTTAGGGGTCACCTCTATATTTTTTTATACTCAAAAGGTAAATACGGTAGTTCCCCCTTATCTGTAGTTTTGCTTTCCCTGGTTTAAGTAACCCACAGTCAACCGCAGTCTGAAAATATTAAATGGAAAATCCAGAAATACACAATTCCTATGTTGTGAGCGAGGCGCCCTTCTGAGTACCGCGATGAAATCTCGCGAGTTCTCTCCGCCCGGCCGCCCGTGGCTCATCCCTTTCTCCAGCATCTCCCGCTGCAGACGCGCTCTGCGTGTCAGTCCCCCACCAGAGGCTCAGTCACCACGCCGGCTGTCGGGTGTCAGTGCTCGCAGTCAAGTCACCCGTATTTTAGTTACTAATGTCCCCAGAGTGCGAGAATGGTGATGATGACAACTGGGAGGTGCCACAGAGAAGCCGTACAGGGCTGCCTTGCAGTGAAAAGCTGCAAGTTCTCGACCTAAGACTTTTATCATCTCACGTCAAAAGAAGGGTAAGTGCAGTACAAGATATTTTGAGGGAGAGAGAGACCACCTTCACGTAACTTTTATTACAGTATGTTGTTATAATTGTCTTATTTTTATCATTAGTTACTATTGTTAATCTCTTACAGGGCCTACTTTATAAATTAAACTTGATCACAGGTGTGTATGTTTAGGAAAAAACATGGTATATGTAAGGTTTGGTGCTACCCGTGGTTTCAGGCATCCACTGGGGGCCTTGGAATGCATCCCCCGTGGCTGAGGGGGACTACTGCATTTCTCATGGACGCTGGTCACCTTCGGTTTACATGTCTGGACCCATTACCTGCTGCCTCTGTGGAAGCTCACCTAATGTAGAGGGAGTGCTGTCCTCGCTGAAAGGGAGGCGGAGGGTGTGGCTTTGGATTCTTGATACTCACCTCACCATTTGCAGTTTATTGGTGTTTGGCAAACTCAGTGTCCTGATGCTGAACGTGAGCATGAAGTGCATGGGGATTTGGCAATGAAAGGTTCCTTCTGTTGGTTTACAGGGAAGTAAGTGAGTAATGAAAGCTGTGTGCCGTTTATCCATCTACTCTTCAAGCTGAAAGAACATGGGCACATCTCTACCTTCACCATACTCTCAGTCACCTCTGTAACTTTTCTTGGTTTCATTTTGCCCTTTTCCCCCTACCCCCTGCAAAGCAGAATGTCTTGTGAAGATGTTTCTCTTTCTTGTGTGTTGTGATCAGTGAGATGTTCCCAATTGTCCTTTACACTGCTGAGCAGAATAATAAGTGTATGATTTGGGCTGGACAGCCTGTACATTTTGATCAATGAGAGGGTAGAAGTGAATGGCCCCAGGAACTCCAATTATGTTGAAGCTGATTTGTCTTTTCTTAGGATGAAATACAACCTGTCATGGGGGGCAGCCCCATTGGTTTGTGAGCATTCCCTGTCATTGCTGATCCTGTCACCGACCAAGTTCGGCTGCTTTGTCTAGAGCATCTGCTGGAGCCCCGTGAAAGACAAGGAGAAAACACGTGCTCTCATGTTCTAGACGATGCTGAAGCCTGGTGCCACCCTGTGTGCCATGGCTTTGGTACTTTTTACTGTGAAAAGATGTAAGCTCCAGGGGACAGGAAGAGTCGCTGACACTCTTGTCCCTGATGTGGCATGATGGGGACATTTAGGGGGCTCCTGCAGCACCAGCTTCCCTTTTATCACAGGCCAGTGGCTTTCCGTGCCTACCTCGAGCAGTCTCTTTCTTAAGTAGCTGTCTCTCTGGCTGGGCCAGGGAAATGAGGACTGAAATCAGTACACTCATTTATTTTATTTTATCTTTAAATATGTTTTTATTGATTTTTGGGGGGAGAGAAAGAGAGAAACATCGAGGTGAGAGTGATATATCAATTGGCTGCCTCCTGCACACCCCCTACTGGGGATCGAGCCCACAACCTCGGCATGTGCCTGACCTGGAATCGAACCTGGCCCTCTCAGTCCATGGGATGATGCTCAATCCACTGAGCCACACCAGCTGGGCCCAGTACACTCATTTAGAAGAAGGAGCACATTGCTGTTGCCCTATGACTTGGTTCTTTCTCAGTCTCAGCTCTGCCATTAACTAAATATGATTTTGTACCAATCTCTTAAGCTCCCTGGGCCTTAGCTTTTATATCTAAGGGAAGTGATTGGGCTGGTCTTTGAAGTTTTTCTCTGTGTAACATTCTTTGTTTATCAAAATTTAAGAAATTTGGCCCTAGCTGGTTTGGCTCAGTGGTTAGAGCATTGGCCTGCAGACCAAAGGGTGGCGGATTCGATTCTGGTCAAGGGCATGTACCTGGGTTGCAGGTTCGATCCCTGACCCTACCCTGGTCAGGGTCATGCAGGAGGCAACCAGTCAATGTGTGTCTCTCACATCAATGTTTCTCTCTCTCTCTCTCTTCCCCTTCCTTGCATTCTATCTAAAACTCAATGGAAAAATATCCTCAGGTGAGGATTAACAAAAAGAAATATTTAAGAAATTATTTTGTATGTGTTTTTATTACGACAGTAACCAGCCATTTCAGAGCCAATGTGTTTTTCAAGGGAAACACACTCTTCTTTGGAGAAAGAACCACACTGTTGAGTAGTATGGGGGATGGAAAGGAATTGATCTCTCTGCCATTTTATTTGGTAATATCAAGGGGAAAGGATTCACAAGGGGGTTGTTTGTTAAAGACCAGATTATTAACTATTATTAAATGAGGTGTTTTTGTTGTACTCTTTATTTCTAAGTTTATTTTTATTTTTTGTGTGCACAAATTAATTGTTTTCAGTTTTCTCTCTAAGGCAACTATAACCAAGAACAACTTGAACCAAGAGGCCCCTGAAGTTCTTAGATTTATTAGAATGATTAGAAAGAGATAAAAATGTTTTTGAGATAGCAAAAATGGAAGCTCATCTTTTTTAAATGTGATTTTATTTATTAAGATAGTGAAGCAGGACATATCAGTTACACGCGTAGCTTATTTAATGCTGTATAACTAATAAAGAACAGACCCACATTTCAAACCTGTGATTGTTTTCTTTGTTCATGTTCTTTCTCCCATGGGAAGAGATGGAGGTTGTGGCAATTCTTTGCAATACCCCTGAAAAAAATAAAATGTCCCTTTTCCACACTCACACGCAAAGAAACCCCAGTTCTACACTTATGCACCAATAGGTCACCGGTTCAATTCCCAGTCAGGACACATGCCCAGGTTGTAGGCCCAATCCCCAGTGGGGGGCATGCAGGAGGTGTCCAGTTGATGTCTCTCTCATCGATGTTTCTATCGCTCCCTCTTGCTTCCTCTCTCAAATCAATAAAGGGGAAAAAAAGTCCTCCATGCCTTCTCAAATTAAAAAATAAGTAAATAAAATAAAATATAAGCCTGGTCAGATAGCTCAGTTGGTTAGAGCATTGTCCTGATACACCAAGGTTGTGGGTTTGATCAGGGCATGTACAAGTATCAACTAAAGAACGCATAAATAAATGAAACAACAAACTGATCTCTGTCTTTCTCTCTCCCTCCTTCTCTCCCTCCCTTCCTCTCTCTTTCTAAAATCAATCAATAAAATAAAATAAATCTCTTATTAGTGGAGAGAGGCTGTGTATGTGCTTGTAAGTTACTCTTTCCCCCCCCCCAGAAACTTTCTTGTGATATTGGAATTATAAATAATGGGTTGAATGTATTAAACTTGGGAGCACTCATATGTTGGCCTTAAAAGATACTCTCCATTTTGGGAAGGCCTAGACTTGGTGTCTCACCTGATTTGTTTGCTGGGTGCTCATGTACTTCTATATAAACAAGTACTTCCGCTTCCCCATTGTGAGAGCTGGCACAGCAAAGCTGACGAAGGACCTTGAAGTAATGACGGCACATTTGTGCAAACAAGAAAAACTCAGAAAAGTAGTGTTGGGATCTGGAAGTGACACTAGAATAAACCGTGGTCACAGTTACGGAAAACCAGCTTTCGAGTTCTAAGCAGATAGCATGTGATGTCATTCCAGTGCCGTAGTTATTATCCTACCCACCTCATGCAACTCCCAGGTCTAAAACCCAGATCCCGTAATCAAGTCTGCGATTCTTTCTACTTTGATGCTTACCTGAGCTTTCCTTCATTTTTGCAATTATAGAGGATAACATGGCTCCGTAAAACTCATATTAGAGCCCATGTTTTGAAAAAACAACACCCCCAAATAAACTTTATAGTAAGAGGCTTTCACGCTTTCAGAAAGTTAGGGGGACTGACAATGACTAGGGACAGAGGGGTATGGACAATGAAGAAGAAGAAGGAAAAATGCGCTTTGTGAGGAGGATACAAAGGGCGGTGAGCCGGTGAGGCGAATCGCGCGGTGAAGCTGATGCTCGGCCTTAGCTCCAGGCAGGTCTTTCCAGGGGCTTCCTTCCAGGGGCCAACCGCTCCGGTTCAGTTTCAGGAAATCCCCAAACAGGAAATAAGATGTTGCAAGCTTTGGGCTTTGGGACAGACTTGAGAGATAAATTTTAAAAACCAAAAATCACGCAGTGACTTCTTGGCTTCTGAGGACGTGTAACGGAGCCAAGGGGAGGCCACCCTTCCTGTGGCCGCCCGGCTCCAGTGCCCGGTCTTCCCCGGGTCGCCCCCGGAGCCAGTGTCTCGGAACCGGCGCATTCCTCCCCTCCGCTGGCGTGCACCCCTTCAGCAGGCTGGAGGGTCACTCGCGGAGGGCAAGGGAAACGGAGAAACAGCCCCTAATCTTGTGCGGAACAGAGAGAATCTGTTCTGGCGGGGAGGGTAGGACTCGGGGTTGCAACAGTCTGATCTCAGCGCTGGCAGCCTCTGCGGTGACCTTGGAAAAGACCTTGTGTCAACTTGATTGGAGCCTCCAGACAAAACACGCGAGTCCGGCCAAACATTCGAGTGTTTCCAACACTTGCCTGTTTAACATCATGCAGGGGCAGTCTTCATTGTGTTTGGCTTCAATGTAACTCTCAAAAAAGCTCTTTTGAAGGGGTCCCTCCCCACCCCCACTCCCTCCTTTTCAACACCCGCACCAGTGAATGGGGGGGAAACGTTGGGCAGTGCAGCTATGTCGAGCTCTCGGTCGATTCACTTATTACTTAGAACACAAGTGCAGTTGGATTTCGATGGATTTGGACAGGACTGGGAAGGGCCTCTAGAGATTGGGAACCTGGATGTGTCCACCAGGACTTACAAATCTTTTATGTCGTTCCCCGCGTATATGCTCGCTGCTCCCAATTAAACAAGGAACTTGGTCGCAGGCTGTGCACAGCTTCTCTCGTGTTCACATGTGTCACATATTTCTTCAGGGCACTGCCCACTGGGACACTGATTAATCTGAGGTGGTCATTAATTGTTTGATGCCGGTTACATGGGAGGATAGGATGGTCCCAGGGTAAATATAATTTGAGAATAGCCAGGGGTAAGTGACAGCATCACTGTTCTCTCATCTCCCACTGACTCCAGACATGCAAAGCCAGCTTGGCAATTATTGAACTGAGAAAGAAAGAAGCAACATGTGGTTTTTCCCAATGGGGGATT